GTATCAGAATGAAATGATAAGGAAACAGAAGAGAGGAGTAATCAAGATGGATGTGAGTTGAGGGGGAGGGGGGAGGGAGGGAGGTCAGTAAGGCGTGTCTGATGCGATGTGCTGTGTCGGGTCAGAGGCCTCCCTCCCTCATCACGCTACAGGACCGAGAGAGAGAGAGAGGCATGTTCTGCATTCCTGTGAGTTCATGTGAGACAGTTTCATGAACCTGTCGTCCTCACAGGAAGAGAAACGACAACATGAGGGACATTTGTCTCTTCTCTAAAATCATAGGTGAGCTTCTCTGTTTTCGTCAGACAGGTGCACGAGGAGACAGGTGTGACAGTAACTATGAAGCTGGAGCTCAGTTTGATCTTTACGTGTTTTTATTATCTTAAGTCACTTTTCAAATGAAAATCTTTATAATGTTAATATGAAAGCTAATAATGGTAATAATTATTGTTATTAATGATGTATTATTTTTAAAAAAAACTCCATCGCTTAGCAGAAGTGTTTGTGATGAGAAAACAGAGAAGAAGAAAGTGTCTCCTGCTGCTTTCTTCTTCTCTGGTAAAAAAAAACTCCGCCCTTTCAGACACATGCTGCTTTTATACCTGTCCACCTTCCCCGTCCTGTAATGAATCTGCTCATGAGACGTCTTCAAAACACTGAATCCAGTTTCCTCTCTTGCTGTTGACTCCGGTTTTGACTGTAAGCAGAAACTTAAATTAACGAATGAATTATTTAGTGTTTAATTGGTTAATTCATCAATTTTCTGCCACTTATCTGAGTCCATTCCACTCATTATGATGATTATGATTATGTAACTTTGTTAAGAAAAGTGCTGTATAAATCAAGTTTGTTATTATATATTGTAAATAATAACCAGCTCCTTCAGGATATTTGTCAGGAAACAGTCACATGTTCGTTAATCAGGTTTATTCATTAGTAAAGTTTAGAGGCGCTGGTGTTTGTGAGTTTGGACAGAGTCAGGCTAGCTGTTTCCCCCTGCTTCTAGTCTTTATGCTAAGCTAAGCTAACCAGCTCTGACTGACTCCGAGAAACAAAGTGAAGGAGTGAATGTTGAACTGTTCCTTTAAGAGCTGACTTCAGGATCTCTCTGCTCTTATCATCCTGTTTATCTTCCCTTCCACTTCCCACACAGCATGGAGGGATTAGTTAACCCCTTCACCCTGTCCTCATTAGGGCACAGTCACACACACACACACACACACACACAGTCACACACACACACAGTCACACACACACACACAATCTGAAGTTCCTCTGCGTCTCGAACATGAAGTTTCTGTTTGTGTGTGATGCAGTTTGACATGAGCGTCAGACGCTGCCATTGCCTTCATGTCTCTGCCTCTCTGATCTGCTCCCCTTCCTGTGTGTGTGTGTGTCTGTGTGTGTGTGTGTGTGTGTGTGTGTGAGATGCTGAGGGAAGATGGTGACAACTTTCCCCTTTGTTGAGGTTTGATTGCCGTCTTCTGAAGTTGGTGCTGGTTTGTTAAAGTGCCAGTCACTGGCTTCTGTGGCTGTCAGCGGTGAACTGAGTGTGTGTGTGTTGTATCTACCACACACACACACACACACACACACACACACACACACACACACACACACACACACACAGAGGCTACTCACCGAAGACACCTGTGGAAAGGGGGAATACGTGAAGCTATGACAGAGTGGAGGTCAGACTGGAGAGAGACTGCATCATGTTTTTCTCCTCGAGTGACGATCTGTGATAAAACTTGATCATTTTCACACAATAATAACTAATACGCTTTTGTATTACACATGATATAATAACAAATACACAAACTCCTACAGCAACGATGATGAAGTCATTTTCAATAAATGAGTCAGTTCTGTATTTGGCTCATTCCTCACCTTCACATTGAGTCTATCAGGCTGCAGCTGCAGGGTCAGCAGCAGTATTAATAATAATAAAAGGAAGAATAACTTTATTTATAGCACTTTTCTTAACAAGGTTACAAAGTGCTTTACAAAAAAAGAGTCCAAAGCACCTGAGCATATTAAAAAGTGTAGAACAGCAAATCACCATTATACAAAAAGATCTGACAGTGCGTAAAAAGAGGCGATAAAATATGTAAAAACAATAATTAGGGATAAAACTATAAAAATAAAACATGTATCAGACATTACCAAAGGCTGAGACAAAGAAATGTGTTTTTAGAAGAGATTTAAAAGAAGTTTTATGGGGCTCTAAAAGCAAACGTCACCCTTAGTCACAAACCTGGACCTTCTGCAGATCTCACTTCTCTGTTGGGCACAAACCGTGTCGATAAATCACAGATGTAATTGGGCTCGGAGCCGTGTAAAGCCTTAGAAGTCAGTAATAAAGTCTTAGAATCAATCTGAAATCTAACAGGGAGCCAATGAAGGGAGGCGAGCAGCGGAGTCATGTGACTCGACCTGTTTATTCCAGAAATAAGACGAGCAGCAGAATTAAGTGTCAGAGAGGAGAGGTCACAGGGATTTGGAAACTTGGATTTGTTGAAACTTAAAACCACGTTGAACAAGATTAATAGAAAAAAAAAAGATATGATAATTGATCCTTTCGTTCAGGTCTAGAGTTCGAGTCCAGTTCCATTAAAACACCTATAACATAACAATACAGTAAAACACCTGGAATCATTAATGAATCTTTCATTGAAGCTTTTATCTCCTGGTTAAAATGATGATGATGTGATTTTTATTGGCCTTGTATCAAACAAACATGTTTCCTTTACGTGTGGAGAATATGATCTGTATGTCTCAGACATATATCAGGTTTATCTCATATGTTCTGTCACACATTTTACATTTAGCTAAGAAATTGCAGCTGCTGTGATTTAGATATTTTAATCAGCGGTGGAAGATCGTTAATGTGGGCTGTGTAACGTGATGAGCTTCAGACCGACTCTGCCGGAGATTGTGCGTCAGTGATACGACGCATGGCTCTGTAACATCTCTGTACGACCGGCGGTAAACTGTGTGTTGTTGTTGTTTGTTTTGGTTTTTTTTTCAACGATCAGCTGATCGCAGCTCGTTAAATACAACTCCATCTCTTTATGCAGATCAGATCGATACCTGGAGCTCATTAAGCTCAGAGTTTGGATTTGTATTTAGTTAGTGAGAAGTCGGCGTGTTGAGTCAGAATAATCAATACCTCAGATCTGCTGCTGCTCCGCTCGTTCTCAGGTTGGAGCGACAGGTGGTCAGCGTTAATTAGGTTAGCTTCATTAATGCTAATGTTGACTCATTTAATGTAAAAACCGCAGTGTTTCTGGCCTCTGGCCCGACAGCAGCTGATCACAGATCTGCCCCGGAGATATTTCTAACTTTAGATTCTTGTAAATGATAAAAGCCGAACTTAATGAGATCTGATAAAAGATGTGAGGGGATTCGAGATCTGATGCTGGATCTTAATTTGATTAAATGGTAACGACGCCGTCCTCATCCTCAAGTTTTCCTAGTTTAGTTTTATTCTGTCAACTTCCTCTCCGTCGTCGGCGTTCAGACTCTCTGACTGTGTTTTCCCTGCGTGGCCTCAGGCCTTGTTGCAGGCCCACGACGTGGTGGCCCACGAGGTTTACAGCGACGAGGCCCTGAGGGTGACCCCTCCCCCCACCTCACCCTACCTGAACGGAGACTCCCCGGAGAGCACCAACGGAGACATGGACCTGGAGAACGTCACCAGAGTCCGTCTGGTCCAGTTCCAGAAGAACACGGACGAGCCAATGGTTCCTACTTTCACATATTTACCTGAGATTTGTGTTGAGACCTCAAACACCGTCTCATCCACTGACTCCACGTGTGTGTGTGTGTGTGTGTGTGTGTGTGTGTGTGTGTGTGTGTCTTTGTGTGTTGGTCCATTCAGGGTATCACGCTGAAGATGAACGACTCGAACCACTGCATCGTTGCGAGGATAATGCACGGAGGGATGATCCACAGACAAGGTGAACTATGAGTTACACCACGAGTCACAACACAGGTGTTTGATAAACGTCCTACAGACGGATCTCTGACCTGAACGTGGACAGAGAAACACGTCCTGAAAACCAGTCGCAGCAGAGATTCACAGACCAAGAGAAGTTGTTTTTCTAACTACTGTTATATAGATTCAGACGGACAGGAATGATTGAGTCTTTAAAAAAGAGGCGTCAGAGTAAAAAGCAGAAACAGTTTCTTCATCTTCAAGAAACGAGGAAACAAACAAACAAACAAACAAAGAGACAAACAGCAGCTGGTTCGTCTCTGCTCTCGTGGTTGAAGGTAAAACACGTTTCACTGTTTGACTGCGACTGTAGCAGCTAATTAATCCCAGTTGATTCATCGTCTGGTTAAAGGAAGTTTTTCTCTGCAGCTGAGACTCTGTAATTGTCTGTTTTTACTCCTGTGTGTGATTTAAAATGTGTGTTCGTTGTCGAGCATCGTCAGAGTCTCTCTCTCTCTGTCTCTCTCTCTGTCTCTCTCTCTGTCTCTCTCTCTCTCTCTCTCTCTCTCTCTCTCTCTCTCTCTCTCTCTCTCTCTCTCTCTCTCTCTCTCTCTCTCTCTCTCTCTCTCTCTCTCTCTCTCTCTCTCTCTCTCTCTCTCTCTCTCTCTCTCTCTCTCTCTCTCTCTCTCTCTCTCTCTCTCTCTCTCTCTCTCTCTCTCTCTCTCTCTCTCTCTCTCTCTCTCTGTCTCTCTCTCTCTGTCTCTCTCTGTCTGTCTCTCTCTCTCTCTCTATGTCTCTCTCTCTGTCTCTCTCTGTCTGTCTCTCTATCTCTCTGTCTCTCTCTCTGTCTTTCGTCTGATCTCTCGTTTCCCTTCAGGAACGCTGCACGTCGGAGACGAGATCAGAGAGATCAACGGCATCAGTGTGGCCAACCAGACAGTCGAGCAGCTGCAGAAGATGCTGGTGAGTGTGTGTGTGTGTGTGTGTGTGTGTGTGTGTGTGTGTGTGAGATAATAACTAAAGCTGGTTTTATACTTTTGCCGTGTGTCCTCTGGACTCTGATATCAAAGTCTTGTTGATGGTTTAAGTTTGCTGTGGAGGTTTCTGTAACTCACTCGCTCCACTGAGCGGGGGACTCGTCCACCCAGTTTCTCAGAGCCCCATTAGCCAGTACATGTCGCTGTCATGGCAACCAGAACAGCCCAGACAGTAAACCGCCCTCCGTACTTCCCACTCTTTCCCCGTTTCCGCCTCCACGACGAGGACCAGACGATGAGGATTGTGATGCTGTGTGGAGGAAGTTAAAGAGACTGAAACACACAGATTAAACAGTGACAGTCTGATATTCAGGAACGAGACACAGTGAAATAAACATTATACGATTTTTAAATTAACAGATTAAATGTCAGAAAAGTCTCGTCTCCACAGAGTCTCTGTTCAGTGTCATGTAGAACAAAGAAAGAAACACAATCACAGCACATGTTCCATCCATCTCAGTTTCTCCCCCGCGGCTGCAGCTAACGATTATCTTCATCATCGATTCGTCTACGGATCATTTTCTTATTTAAATCATTATGTGTTTGGGCTTTGAAGCATCAGAAACACTGACGAGTGTCTATCACAGCTCCCTGGAGCCCACAGGGAGCTCGTTAATGTCCAGAAATATTTAATGTGAGTCAAAGAAAATGATCAAATGCTCACGTCTGAAAACCGTGAACCATCAAACATTTTAACTGCAGCAGCTGAAAGACTTCAAATAGTTTCAAATTCATTTTCTGTTAATGGATAAACTGACTAATCGTTGGTTCATCAGTAAAATGTTACATGCTAATGTGTGTGTGTGTGTGTGTTCACAGAGGGAGATGCGAGGCAGCATCACCTTTAAAATAGTGCCAAGTTACCGGACGCAGGGTTCCTCGTGTGAGGTAACGCCTCCTCCTCTTCTTCCTCTTCCTCCTTCTGACCTCTGACCTCTGACTGTGAGCTCCTGATCTGGTTACTAACTGCTCGCCTGGTTACTGAGCGTGCGTGCGTGTGTATGTGCGTGCGTGCGTGCGTGCGTGCGTGCGTGTGTGTGTCCGTGTGTCCGTGTGTGTGTGTGTGTGTGTGTGTGTGTGTGTGTGTATGTGTGTGTGTGTGTGTGTGTGTGTGTGTTCTGCTGTGTTTTGCTGGGGCTGGGTCAGATAATCAGCACACCAATTTCACAACCAAGATACCGGAACCCCCCCTCCCCTCCCCCCTCTCTGGTCCAGGAACGAGCCACACCTCTCTGTGTGATCCCGACCTGCTCCTCCGAGATCAACCACCACACCTGTACACACACATACACACACATACACACACACACACACACACACACACGCACACACACACACACACACAGTACAGGAGTGGGTAAAACAACAGAAACAACAACACCTGCACAGTCGACACAAGCTGAAGCTCGTGATTTTTGGCTTTTGTTAAAGAAGAAATAATCAATATTTTACAGAGTAAAAATAAGTGACAATGTGAAAGTTTCACTTGTAGTGATGAACCTGCAGAGAGTCATCACCTGAGCCTGCAGCTCCTCCCACCTCCACACACCTTTATATAATGTTTCTCTGTCCCGACGACACGACAGCTTTAGTGGAAAATGAAAAAACACACCTGATGTTTTCTCGACAACAAACAAATACTTTGAGTCTGACAGAATAAATAGTGAGGGCAGAGCTGTTGTTGTATGAGCTGTTTCTGTTATTCTGTCCACACGCACAAACTCTGACGCCTCCCGCCCCAAACACACGGGTAAATACGGACGACCAGACGACCTGAAATGATCCCGTCACCCTGACAATAAAACCACTGGACAACTTTATCAACAGTAACTGGAAGGAGCTCCCATCACGGACTCAGCTGCAGTCCAGTGAACCCATGTGACCCCAGAGGGGCCCTTTAAATCTGGCTCCTGTCCAGGTGAAACCTCGTATGTAATTACATTATTTTAACATGGTTTGAAAAAGACACTGGAAACCCGGCGCAGAGAATCTAAACTTGGAACCTGCTGGTTATTGTGGTTGTCTTTATTTAGGCTCAAGCTACATAGCATAACTTTTATTTTGAAAAATCATACCCACAAACCACAGCAATGCTTTGATTTGATCATTTTTAGCTGGAGACAGAGAGAAGAGGAGTAAATATAACTTCACACACACAAACTCAAGTTTCTTTATAAAACGATGTGCTTTGTCATTTCACTTTGATTATTAGTTATTCTTTTGTTTAGAGGCTCTTTTCATTCGTTCATTCTTCCCTGCTCATCATTTAGATGTCGTTTCTAAATCTTAATATTTCAGTTTCTATCTCATCTTCTCCATTTTCACTTTATTTCAGTTAAAATGAAACATTTATCTCACGAGTCATTTCATAAAATCATTTATTGAAGTCTGATTTCAGCTCCTCTGGTCGTCTCACACACACTCACACACACACACACATTGAGTCTCTGAGCCGTGACGGTCTGTGTTAGTGATGACCTCATGGTCTGAGCCGCTCAGATCAGCTGGTGTTAGCGTAGCGCCCCCCTGTGGTGATGTGAGGACGTGCAGGCTGCTGACGATGTCGTCGTCTCTCATGTCCTGTTGACGCATTTCATTACGTCAACGCTGTGGTGGGTCTCTATTGTGTTGTTGCAAATTTACCCTCTCCATCGCCAGAAGAGTGTGTGTGTGTGTGTGTGTGTGTGTGTGTGTGTGTGTGTGTGTGTGTGTGTGTGTGTGTGTGTGTGTGTGTGCGCGCTGCTGACCTGTGTGTCTTATTTCAGAAAGAGTCCCCCACCACCTCCAGGCAGTCCCCTGCCAATGGCCACTCCAGCATTAACAGTTCTATCTTGGTAAGGACCCCTGCCCCCCAGAA